CGCGAATTGTGCAAGCGCTTTGCGTGAATTGTCCGCGCTCCAAGTTAACCAAAAAATGTTATTAAATGGTGCTAGATGTTGTTAAATGTTGTTAAGTACTGTTAAATGTTATCTGATACCATGTTAAAAAGGAAGAGGAAACACAATAAAACAAAAAGGTGACGAACAAAAAAAAAAAAAAAAAAGAGGAAAAAGGTAATTTTTTTTTATTACACGTTGAAAGGGTTTAATTGCGTAACTAGGAAGCGTTGGGCGATGCTGTAAAATGTAACACGAGCATAGGGTTGGAGGTGGATCTGCAAAGGTGCCGGCAGATAAACTTCTGCAGGGGAAAATCTTCACACTCTCATGCATACGTATGCAGGGGACTATAAAGGAACGTCTTCCCTCCTCCCAAATGGGATGTTTGCTAAGGTGGCACAAACGAAGGGACTATCATAACAATAAGGTGTATTAAAAAAAAAAAAAGATTACAAAAGGTGACGTTTTAACTATTCTCATCATTATATTTCTCCAGCCAGTTCATTTGAATATTTTCCAGAACGCCTTCATTACACCTTCCGCTTAACTTCTTTTTGTTTTTCTTCACAACGGTGTCAATTACCATGTTTTCTAACTCCTCAAATCGCAATGTTAATGGGTCAACATGTTTGTATTCCTCCAAAAGTAAATCCACTATGTCGTCTGCATCCTCCCAATCTAGCGTAACGTCATTGTTGTCATAAGTGAAATGCCTCTTCCAAATAAACTCTGGCGAGTTATAGGAGAAGGAGCCAGCACTGACATTGCCGTGAGTCAGGGTTGGACATTTAGACCAGCAGGGTTTTACGAGACAGTTGCATTTTGTTATGGCCAGACAGGAAAGCTTTTTCATATTAGCAGCTGCCATTTTCTGCTTTCGACATGGGGTAAGGATGTGCAAATACGTCCGTTCTGTTTATAGAAGGCGATTTCGTAAAGGTGGAAACTCTGCAGGAGAAGCACAAACCCAACTGTCGCAAAAGCAGTGCAAGCTAAGTTGACGAGGCACGAAAAAATATTTCGAGGGCGTGCTGCTACGTGATGTGATTGACGATGGTAGAATTAGTCACTGCCACATGTAAGCATTTTTTTTTCCTTTTCCCTTACAATGTGTTTTTCGAGTTGTCCCAGTTCGAAACTTACTGAGTTCCCCTTTTAACTTTAAGTTTAGCTTTAACTTTCGTTCGCGGTTTGGCTAGTCTGTATCACTAATTACATTTCCGCAGATCGGACGATCCTGGGGCTCACAAAATGAATGGCCACTTGGAGGTTTCCCTCGCACGGTTAGCCACACATTTACGCCACGTGGACGAGCAGCCCACATGTCCCCTCGCTGGACCCGAACACAATGAATATATTTCTCCTCACTGTTCACAAATTTGCAAAGGGAACACAGCGGAGGGGTGAAACGGGCGAAACGACAACGTGTTCTATTTGATCCTCAATTTGGCCCTCAATTTTGTGACATTTCGGGTGGGCTCCCCCCCAAATGAAGATTAATTCTGCCAAGGGGAAAGCCAAGCACGAGGGGAGATAAAAATACTAGGTGCGATTGCTCAGAGGGGAAAAAACGGATGGGAATATAGCTGTGCTGTTTGCTAATACTTCGTTTGCTCCTGCGAGCATAAGGAGTGTACACACGCATTACGTGCCTATGCATTGTAAGGCCGCTCTACATTTAAGTTGCCTCGAAATGTTAAAAAAGCGCCTTGGAGCTGCTAAATTAATTGCTCGTTTGTAAAGTACGTATTAGCGTTTCTTCTCCGCAAAAAGCAAAATGAGGGAAAAAATAGCCTAGTCGTTGTGTTTCTGCATCATCAAAACGACGCTTCCTCCCTCTTCTGCGTTTAAAATGAAACGCACATAATGAGAAGGCGCCCCAAACGTTACATAATATGATGTTTATTTTTATTTTTTTTATTTCTTTTATTTTTATTTTATTTTTTCATTTTTTTATTTTTTCATTTTTTTATTTTTTATTTTTTTCCAGATCATATACTTACAAGAAGGAGAAACCGCAAAACATGGATTGAAAAAATTTTGGGAAAAGGTGTAAGGAAAAAAAGAATAATTGCAAGTGTATATTTGGAAAAATTTGACATTAAGATTCATTTTAAAAAAGTATCATTTCGTTATGCGATGCGTAACTTAGGAATATAAAACGAATAAGTTAAGAAAATTGGCAAACGGGGGTTAGCAAATAATTACGTAGATGGGTAAGCGCGCAAGTCCTCACTTTCATTGTACATATGAACATATCCTTTGCGCAAATTTGTGTACATTTTTAGTAGCACAGGGGGTAAACCTTCAACTCGTGTGAAAAGGATACCTCTCTTTTGCGATCGCATAAAGATGTTATTCTTGTTACGTTTTTTTTATTTGGACCACTCCGTATCGCGCTTAAAAAGGAATTAAAAACACTGGGAAGGCCATTTCTTTTGTGTAAAAATATTGTCCCTCCGTGGTAATTTTATATAAGCGGCCACCTACAAGCATTTAGCGTTTTCTCCTGCTTTTTTTTAAAATGTTCAAATTAAATTACAAGTTATGTAACGGGTTAAGAAATGTATACAACTTCACAGGTAGACAGAAACCTAACCATATGAAACCCCAGTTCGTGGGAATCATTCCGTTTAAATGTAAAGAATTCGCGACGGGGAAAAAGAATCCAGACAGTAACAAAGCGAACGAGGTTAAGGGCCATGGACAGGACCATGAAGGGCACACCAAGGGATTGTACCATCATGTAGAGCACCATCATGGAAATCCTCGAGACCATCTAGATCAAGACGGACTAAGGAAAGCAGAATATGATTTTGACAGCTTTCACTGGGACGACTACTGGTTACATACACCAAAACAGAATATAGTAATTGTGAATGGGCAAAAAATGATTAAGGGAGAAGAAACGAAGCCGATGGAGTACTTATTTAATGTAAGCCAAAAGAACATTCCTTTTTGGTCTAGAACAAGATTAAATGTGTGGGGAAACTACAATATGGTTTTAAAAGTTGAATTTCTGTTTTTCTGGATCCCAACACTTATCATTTTTAGCATCGCGATTCCCTGTTTCACCATGTTGTACATGCTGGATGAGATAGTTCACACAACCATGACAGTGAAGGTTATAGGGCGACAGTGGTACGAACAGAGAGGACATGAAAGGAGAGATGTATGAAAAGGAGGAGTGTCTTACGTGAAGGACTGTATAGCGTACTACATTTTGTGCTACTACCATGCCTTGTTATTACTGCACATGCGATTTATTCACGCGGATAAGGTGCGCGATGATGAATGGCATTGTGTTGTTCCCTTTTATTCCCGTTTATTCCCTTTTCTTCTTTTCTTTTTGCTTTGCCTATGTGTGCATGCCCACCGTTTATTTCCGCTTCTCATGCAAGCGATGTGCTTCCCCGCCACCAGACACGGACGCACACACAGATATGCATACGGAAGGAAGCACGTCGCATTTGTTTTCATCCGTGTGTGTTTAACCCTACGTGTGTCTGCGGGCATATTTGCGTACGCGTAAACGTACGTATACACCCACAGCTACACGTGTGTACTCCCATGCACATTTATCCCCTCGAATGGTCCATTTTTACAAGTTTTTCTTTCATTTTTTCTTTAAGGTATTGGATTTATGAAGTAGAATCACCCCCGGAAGACGACGATGACGAATAAGGCAACGCGATTTTTTTGCTTTTTTTTTTATGAATTGCAAAATAGTTGGCATCACCCGTACAGAAATGGATTAAGTGTAAAAGTTTACATTTTACTTCCACGGAACTAGTTTAAATGAATTAAATTTTTTACAGTGGTTGTACCTTGCCCAGGCGTTGGGACTGTACAAATAGGTACATGCGGCACATTGCATGTTTTTTGCATTTTATATTTGCCACTTTATACGTTACCTACGGTGTAGTACGCACGTTCTTTATTTGTTGCCTGTATGCTGCATTTTACCCCATTACGTTTTGTTCATTTTTTTCTTTTGTCTGAACAGCCATTTTTCTTTACAGTACCATTTCGAACTGCACAACATTAGAGTAAAATTTCGCCAGATGAACTTCATTTTTTACTAAAAAAATGGAAAACAGAATATGCAAAAAGGTTAACTTTTGAGTGGTGAGCCGTTCCTGCCAATTTTGCTTTCCCATTTGGGGGGTTTCACACTTGGAGGTTTTAACACTTGGAGGTTTTAACACTTGGAGGTTTTAACACTTGGAGGTTTTAACACTGGAGGTTTTCACTTTTTGAGAATTTCGTTCCGCGCTCTACGAATTGACTCGTCCATTCCTGACCCTAAATGTAGCAATAAACTGAATCGTTTACGTAAAAAATGAAATCGTTCCAGGGATTTTTTTTTTTTTTTTCTTATTGTCTTATGTGTGTGAAAATGTATTTTGGCTGGTATAATTCTGAAAAAAAAAAAAAATTGAAGAATATTTTTTTGAAAAATTGCATGTGAGATATTCAGGTAAAATTAGATAACAAAATATGAACAATTAAATATGGACGCGCGAATTACAACCATTTTAAGAGGATAATTTGAAAAAAAAAAAAAAAAAACCTTTTTTTTCATACGTCATTGGGATGAAAATGCACACAAAAAAAAAAAAATAAATAAATACACAAACAAAACAGTTTAGCAATTATTTGACTTTAATCTGAGAATTTGTTTTTTTTTTTTGGCATTTCTTTGTGAATTGTTTTCCCCAATTGTGTTTTTTTACCTTGTTCGTCTGTTTTGCCTTTTTCGTATTTTTTATCTTTTTCGTGTTTTTTTCCTCTTCCTATTTTCGCCTTGATGCATATGAATATTTATTCTTTATTTTTCATATGGCATTTTTCTGGTTTGCTGGCAAACCATACTGTTTTAACTGGTGTTATATTTTTGCCTTACATGCACATGAGTATGTACACACGCGTACATATATGTTTATGTGTGTATACAGCTTGTACCTGCCCGCATACGTAGGCACACTACGCGGAGTATAAAAGGCTAATTTTCTTGTAACCGCATTTACGCACAAGTTTTACCCACGATTTTTTTTTTTTTTTTTTCGCTTTCCCCCTGTATGGTCCCTTTAGTCATGTTAAAAAATAAGGACTAACCTGTTGCATGGGCAATAGTATTTTTAATTCCAACGTCTTGCTTTTGTTTTAAGAATGGTTCTTATTAATTGCAACTACTTCTCTTTACGTTTAAATTTATACGCAAAAGTGGAATAAACATCATCACTTTTCTCGTCACCATTTAAGGACCCTTTCGAGAGAACAGCTCCAAGCCAAACCTGAGCTGCCGAAATATATGCACAATCATCGTAGAATCATTTAAACACAAGCACACATTGGCGCATTCGAGTGTATCCAGCCCCAGTATAGGCACACGCAAAGAAACAATTCTGATTAACCCTTTATATTATCGAAAATGGCGAGAATACAAAGTAAGAGGAACAAAGCCAAGTTGCTTTTTTTAAAAGAAAGCTACACTTGGGTATGCATCCCCTCTGATCAGGGGAATTCCCTTCTGTACATTATCGCGAAATGTGCGTGTACCATTGGTGTTCTTCTTCCTACAGTCTTTTATGTACTCCCCTTTGTGCACAAAATTTTCAGTACCGTCTTCACGTAATAAATATGACTGTGAAACGATATACACACGTTGAAGTGCGCTGAGGGGGGGCGGAGGGTTTCCTCTGCGAGTGCCTCACACAAAGTGAGAATGTTATAAAGTTATATACCCTCTGACTGTACATGTTAATTCTTTCCCATTTTTTTAGTGAAAAGGGGTAGTGACCCCGGGGTGAGTACCGCCGTGTCTTCCATAATGCAACATCAGAACTTTAAACGTATGTTAATGTTTGGGTTGAGATCGCTATCCGACTTTTGTAACCCTACATCAAAAACGTACAAAGAGAATGCATTTGACGCGTTGGAGAGAGGTGCCGTGGAGTCCATAAAGAACGCGGTAATTAATTACAAGGACGATGATGATATTCTTTTTTGCTCAAGTAGAATACTCTTTGCCATGTCGGATTATTGCTGCTCAGAGAAAGACACAGATGCGTTACAGAAGTTAATTGGAGATGGTGGTTTGAACGCCGTAGTAGAAATTATCAAAACGGTTCCCTCAGATCAGGATACATTAAAGAATTGTCTGCTGTTTATTCAGAACATGAATGACTCAAATGTTCAAATAGAGGGAGGAGATCTCGGTGTTGCTTTACTAAATGTGTTTACGTCAAGCTCATATAATGTCAAATTGGGGGATATAACCATCTCAGCATTGTCTGTTGCGGCTAAGTCTGCTTCAGGTTCACAGATCTTAAATGCAGAGGAAGCACACCATAAATTAATAGACCACTGTCTATCATTGCAGGGGGTAAATGATGATACGGCTAAAATTGTTGAGGGCGTATTTGACGTTATTAAAAATTTGTCTTCAAACGGTTATGTGGTTCCAACTATAATTGAAAAATCTGTTATCATTTTGGACAAATTTAAGTCATACCCAAGAATTGTTTCCAAAGGAAGTGATGCTATGAAATGTGCTGTTGGTCCAGAACAATTAACTGATTGTCTTAACATTTTAAAGACATCCGAGCAAGGATCAAAGGAGCAGGACTCAGCACTAGAATTACTCAGTTCTCTTTCGTATATATCTTCCATAACAGATAAGGTAGTAGAATCTGGAGGAATCCCAGTGCTTGTAGAATTAATCAATAGTGGATTACAACAGTATGAAAGTAATCCTAAGAAAATATCTCGATTAGTAGCTGGGGCGTCTAGAATGTTGGGGAGGATTTCAAATAACCCCCCTCATGCGGTCATAGTGTATGAGTATGGAGGTATTGCAACGCTTTGTACCGCGTTATCCTACTTTCCTAATGACGTCGATTGCGCGAGTGCTGTGTGTAATGCGCTAATTCCGTTCGTGTCTCGATCTAACTATGTCGACGAGATCAATAGCTACTCATTGTTCGCGTCCTTATTCCCAATATTGTACGCGTCTTTGGAGTTCCTCGAGCTAGCCAAAGCGAGTATGTCCTGCATAGCCTCCGCTTCGATGATTAACGAGTTTCACGAACACATGGTAAACAATCAAGCCATCGAAATTTTGTCTACCTGTATTCAGTATCATTTGACCGAAACGGAGTACCTCTCAAATTGTTTTACGGCGTACTTTAGATTATCCGATTATATAACGACGATGGAACCTATTAATCAGTATGGAGGAGTGACAGGAATTGCCAATGCGTTGTCCGCTGTGAGCAATAACAGCACCATATCGGAAATTGGGCTAAAATTGATAAACAAGATGCTGACGGCTTCGGACGCCTTGAACTATTTGAGTAATCAGGAGGTAGTCGATTCAGTATTGACTGTTATGCTGGAAAATGAAACGAAAGAAGTGATCATTCAAGAGGGGACTAAAATTATGGAGAAGTTAGCCACGGAAAGTGACTGTCAAAGGCATATATCCAATCTGGAGTCCATTATAAATTTGGCTCAGTCAAACCCGGAAGCTGCATACAAAACGTTGGCCGCCATTTCGGGACTTTCTCGAATCCAATCTTTAAGAAGTATACTACAATCGAAAGGAGCTGACAGTTCGATATATAATGGCATGAAGGTATGGATTGAATCCCCTCGGTTTAATGAGCAACCTAAGTTAATCAAAGCAGCGCTGAAGACAATCAAGATATTGAAACTGAATGAGGAAAATACAATTCACGAGGTAATAGTATCCATAGTTGATTTGATGTGTCTTTCTCAAATAAAGAGACTTGCGGAGATGGAAGAACCAGATGACAACATTCTGATTACGGCCGCGGAGGGTATAAACCATTTAACACAAATTAATAAGATAAATAACAAAGAAATTGTAGAATCTAGTTTAGAAAGCATATTCAAGTTGATGAAGAAGTATTCCGAATCTCGTTTGACTCAGACGAATCTACTGGCAGCGATTGATAACATACTCCTCAGTAGCAAGGTAATTGGAGTGGATGTCTTGGTTAACAAGGGTTATGTGAAGCAGATTGTTACCTATATCCACAAGGTGCCTATGTACGTGGATGTGCAGATAATTGGATTTAGCGTGTTGGGAAATATTGTAAAGATTAGCCCAGAATCGATCGACGCGATAAAGAAGGCCAATACGTTAATTCCACTTCAGAACTCACTACGGACTCACCCGAAGAATGTTAAGCTGAAGACGACATGTGCCCCACTCTTGGCCATGCTAATGCCGTTAGACTCGCTAACGAAAGAAATTGAAGATCTTCTAAAACTGTGCAATGAGGCTATGGGCGAAAATGACCTCATCAAATTGCATGAGTATTTGAATTCTTTGAACGAGTTGTTATTGACGACGGAAGCGAGTAAGATAGCTTCTCGTTGCAACGTGGGGGAGCATCTTCACAATATGGTTCAGTGGCTGAAGAACAATCCGACTATTTACAACTCGACGGTAAATAAGGACTACAGCATTTTGGGACGAAGTTTGTATGACGCGACGATAGCTGAAATTGGACATGCCTGCACGAACATAGCCCAGACAAGAATTGGATTAGTGCATCTGACGAAAAGTGATATGATTTCTGCACTCATAGAAGGATACAACCTTCTGGAATTACCAGGAAATGAGTACACGGAAGAGGCTGTTGCTAATATACTGGAAGCTCTAAGTCTGCTCCTGAAGCATGACATTACCAATGCGGACGTAGCATTTAACAAAGGCTTGGTTAACAAGCTGTGTGCAGGAATTAACTACTTTTCCGAATCGGACACCGTTATTAAGAGCACGTTTGGATGTTTAGCTTGCATGTGCACAAGCGAAAAGCGCGTCAACCAGTTGATTACTCACCCGGAATATGACAAGCTGATAGGGCTGATTGTAGACCTGATAGGAAACTCGGACAAGTATAAGAACTCTAGGGGAAATGCTATAAAGGCTTTGTACGAGCTTCTAAAAACGGAGGATCAGCAGATAATCACACATATAGCTAGCACGACTCCAATTGTGGACAATCTGTTTAAGATTATGGGAGAGTACCAAGGAGATTTGCCCATCGTCCAGGACAGCACGAAATGTCTGGGTATCATAGCAGACTACATCAATATTGAGGAGAAGATGAAGATAGACCAATATTCAGCGATAAAGATATTGCTAGAAACTTTGGCCAAAAATAAGAATGACGAATTGACGGCCCAAGAGATATTGACCGTTTTGACCAAACTCTGCGATAGTAATGACAAGATGAAGTTGAGAGAATTGGGTGCGATGGATGTAATTTCGGACGTTACGGTGATACACAGTGAGAATGACGAGATTTCCCGCTTGGGGGGACTCCTATTTTCGTACCTAGGAGCCGATGAACAGGTGAAGAAATTGATGAAACTCATATTGAATGTTAAAACTAGTGACAACGATGCGGTACAGAAAGTAGACAATCTCAGCAGTAAGTTAGAGATGTTTTTGAGGGCCCCTCTGGAAAATCCTTCAGACGCGTTGCAATATACGGAGGCAACACTGCAGCAGCTGAATGGGTATCTCAGTTCACAGTTGGATAATGCGTCTCTACAGGCGAACATCGCCTTGGTTACGAAACGTTTGGTAGATCGTGTGAAGCATGATCATGAAGATCAGCTGGGAGCTTGGGCAGTTGCCTCTTCAGGGGTGTTAAATCAGTACACAGACATGATTTCGAACAAGGTTGGATTATCCAATGCAAAATTTGTCTCTCCTGTGTATAGCGTCCTAGCAGGATGTATGCTGAATCCGTATACGAAGCAGTTGGTTGTAGATAAATTGGGGCCGATACTTGACAACACATACGAAGTTCTGGAGGAGTACAAAAGCAAGCCATACGCTGTGCAGGGAATATATGAGCTGCTCGAACAGGTGGCGAAGGATGAAGAGGGTGCAAAGTTGCTGTACACGAAATGGAATGGTTCTATGGGGAATCTAATAGACCAAACGCTAGCCATCATGAATTTAAACAGAGCGAACGATTGTGTCTTCCTGCCAGGTATCAAACTATTAGCTGCCATTGCAGAGACTGCTAACGTTTCTGGGTATGTAAATGACATGGACAATGCACACATTATAGAGTCCTGCGGCATGTTGCTAAATTTGGGTTCTAGCAAAGATAGGACAGTGGAATTTATCAATTTAGTAGACACCATGGTGGTGTCTAGCTTGATAGACGAAAAGGTAGCCTCGGATACGTTGAATAAAATTAGTTCCTTATTATCGGAGGAGAATTTGTCCGATTATACAGAACAAGGTCGCATCGAAATTATCAAGGCGTATGCAAATTTGTTGAGGGACGCTGCAGCTACTGGGTTATTTACGCACATTCGTCCGACAGAGAAGGCGGACGCCGTGAACAATTTAGCTAGGCTGATGGAATATGAACCATGTGAAGAAGTGAATGTAGCCATTTTGGAAGCACTGAGTGAGATAGCGTCGTGTGACCCGTCCAGCGCGCTGAAGATAATAAGCTCTGCTTTGCCTTCCATTGTCCAGAGCAATCGTGAGAATTTGCTAAATAATAACGCGACGGCGGAAAGTTTTGTTCAGGCGTTAGAAAAATTGGTCCTAAACGCAGGGATAGGGCGACAAATCGCTAACAATGAGGAAATGTACAAGTTGCTGGAAGAGCTGGAGATCAGCTTAGATAGGAACAAGGACGAATTAGGAGAAGAATACGTGAATAACATGAAAATGAGGATTTCCAATGTGCGTCAAGCCATAGATGATGATATTCCAAAGGAGAAGACGTGTAAAGATGTATACGACTTGTTGACCGATTATAAGGTAAAATCGATGGAGATTAACGTTCTGCAGGATACGTCTTTGCAAGATGATATGAATTATGTACTGGAGAGATTGAAGGTGTATAATAAGGACGACTTGTTACCCACGACCGAAGCGGGAACGGATAATGCGTACGGCTTTATGGCAATGGAGATATTCTGTGAGAGTAACGATAATGTGCAAGAGTTGGTGAAGAAAGGATTTCATACGAGTGCTTTTCATTCGTTGATTAAGCAAAGGAATGAAAACGTGAAGCATTACTCTTGTCGTGCTTTATGCGCTTTTACCAAGGACAAAACTGGGCTGCAGCATGTCATTAAGGAGATAAAGGACTATGCAAATGTGATTAGCAAATCGGTTGGCGATCTCTGTATGGAGAAAACCCTTGAAAAGGACGATAAGGAAGACTTCCTCATTAACCGTGTTTTGCTAATAGATAGGACAGCGCACAACAGAAATGTGTATGATAAAACGAATGCAGTGAGCCATTTGATAGAAGTATGGAACCAGTATGATAATGGAGATTACTCCGTCTCGTTGCTTCGCCATGTATTCCGAGCTATGAGGAAAATTGTTTCCGATGCGCATGTGGACATGCTACTCAAAGCAGATGTGTTGGTACGGCTAACTGCCATTATTAACAATGTCGAAACGGAGAAGGTTATATACCCAGATGTGCTCTTCCTGATAGGAAGTCTATCCGTGGTGAAAGAGATAAAGACGCAAATCGGAGAAATTAATGGAATCGAAGCATGCGTTAATCTGCTGCTGAGATCGATCAATGTGGAGAAAATGGAGCCTACTATCACCAACTGCTGCTTAGCGCTAGCAAACATGTGTATAGACCATAAGGCCAATTCGAATATCTTCTGTTCACTGCAAGGTCCAGATCTGAATGTAAGAATATTGAGAGAGTATCGCTCCAATTTTGACGTAACGAATGGTGCCTCCGTTCTGCTATGTAACATTCTGTTCCGAAACGAAGATATGAAGATAACGTACGGAACGAATGGGGCTCCGGCTGAGCTGGTGCAATGTTTAAAAAGCTATGATGGAAGTGACAACAAGAATGCAGTGAGGTGTATCGAGAGTTTATTCAAGGCCATTTCGAACTTGTCCTTATATACGGCAAATGTGAGATATTTCCTAGACGCACAGATCGAAATTTCGTACGAGTCTTGGCTGAACAAGCTAAATGAGTCTTTCCCAGATGCTGAGTTGGAAACAGGTTTGCGTACCTTATCCAATTTGGTTATGGAAAATGAAGAAAGGAACATGAAGAATTTTGGGGTGACATTAATTCCCGTTTTAAATGTTCTTCGACAGAATAGAGAAAACACCAAAGTGATCTTTTTCCTGCTGGACATTCTGTGCTCTCTTTGTAGGTACCATGAGAATGCCCAAATATTTTCCTCCAATGGGGGAATAGAAGCGATCATAAATGCGATTCAGTTATACGATTATGATCTCAATCTGTTAACTTTGGCGATTCATCTGCTGAGTAATCAATGCAAAATTAAGTCTAGCCTACCGTTGTTGGTGAAGTCGGACACGTTTACCATTTTAATTACTTGCATTGAAGCCGAGACTGAAGAACATGATATGACTGAATTGGTGGTATCGTCGCTGAGATGTATTAGGCGTTTAATCCAGTCGGAAGAGTTAGCCTATGAGTTTTGCAACTGTGGTGGTGTTCCCTCTATAGCCAATTTGATATGCAAATCGGTGAAGAAATCCATCGTCATGTTGGAAGCGTTGCGTGTATTCCTTTGCATTCTTTACTACACACAAAATGTTGAAGGGGTTACGAATGAATACCCAGAGGAGGAGGAAGAATTGCATAATTCCAAGTTGGGTGGCTGGTATAATATCAGTATGGACAAAGAGATGATCGATACGATTATCCAGTCTGTGTTGACTTGTGCAAATGATGCCAATCATCAGAAACAGCTCAGGTTGCAGAAGGTGTCCCTAGGACTTTTGGCCTACTTTGCCTACCATAGATTGGGAATCATATCGATGACTGCATCTGGCTTTGATAGCTTGACGCAGGAAAATTTAAGTAACTTTGGGGGGGACACTGTAATAATGCAACTGTTAGCCATATGTATTGACAACATCGCGATGTACTCAGCTGAGGTGTATGACACAACTGTGTCTAGAGAAATTATAAAAGGGTTCAAGGCGTCCGTTTCAACGATGAGTAACAAAAAGGAGGACAGGCAGATCGTGCAGAAAGTTCAGCTCACCTTAGACGCAATGAACTCTTCGGAGGATCCTCTCGATGCATTCAAAGACACGCTTCTCATTTTCGATTTCAACTTATCCGAGTTTGACAAAGATCCATACGTCAATGGGGTCCATGATCTGCCCTCAAATGTAAAAGACGCATTACGTAAGGGAGGAGTGAACAAGATATATCACAACAGCGATAAGAGGGAGCCATTCAAGTGGAAGGCCAGTCAAGATCTCGGCACGTTAGAATGGACCATCGGGGATAACGCGGATCACATATTTAAAATTTCAGTCATACGTATTAAGAACATATCCAAAGGGTTAGTGCACCCGTTGCTGAAGGTGGCTAACAAGAGGGAGCCTAGAAAGGTCAATGCGAAGGTAACGTTGTGTATTTATGGGCCGCCCACGGAGGACTTCCCCGAGGGGATCGAGTTGCCTATTAAAACCAAGACGCAGAAGGAGCGCGACGCCTTCGTGGATTTACTCGTCCTCTGGCGTGACGCGGCTAGCTACAACTATTAGGCGCCTTTCCGAGGGAAGGGCCTGCTCCGCGGTTCGCGGCGGTGGTGGGATTACGCCTCTCTACGCAGAGACCGTTACGCGTTTTATTTACTTGTTTATTTTGAGCCCCTCCTCTGCGCGGCTAACCGGGGTGACGAAATGGTGTTATACATACCCCCATGGCAGCAATGGCGCGATTGGGGCCAAGAAAAGAAAAAAAAAGAAAAGAGAAAAAAAAGAAGAAAAAAAAGCATCAACTATTTCGGGCCTTAAAATGGTGTAATTGGGAATCGAGTCCACCTTTCTTATTCCGCTGTTCGCGCGCGTTGGGGTCGTTAGAACAGGTGATTTGGCAGTACATATAAGTCGTATGTATGGCCAAAGGTGCATATGCAGACGGCGCGGGGACGTACGAGTTTATACGCAGTGTATGCGTGATGTAGTACCTACCTATGGGATGCATCTGGTGTTGAAAAAGGTGGAGGGGTGTAGCAAGGGGAAGTGCAGCCGTGGACATGGTCAAAAACGCCTCGTAAATGGCGCATAAATTCTTCGTAATGCCGCGAAAATATCGCGCAGGAGCTGGAAGGGGCGAGGCGGCTACTCCTTGTTATCCATATCGTCGTCCATTTTAGGGGCCAAGAAAAATTTAATAAAGCCAACCTTCAGAGTGTCTGCGTCCGGGGAGGTGTCTTTTATTTCGTACCTAAATTCGATGGGTCTACTGTCACTTAACCCTAGGATGACTACATCGGAGAGGATGGTCGATTTGGAAAACATATTTAAGTATTTTATGGCAAAGGATTGTTTGATTTTTTTTTTAGACTTGATGGTAACACCGATATCCTCTTCACTTGTTGATTCCCTTGGTTTTAATGCCACTTCTGCATCACCGACTAAGCCTTTTGTGGTGAATTTGATAATATTAGAGTCTATTTCGATAAACACCGTGTCGGAAAATTCAGATAGGTTTCTAAAGATGTTGGTCAATTCTTTGCTACTCAATTCTACCTCGGCATCAAATCCATCTTCACAGTCTGGGATGTTCAGAGAGTCCAATTCGATAGACATTAATTTGAGGGAAAAGTTTGTCACTTTATCCTCTTTATTATTTTCGAAAACGAAATTCAGATTGTCTTCGTCATCTTTGCTTGATATCACTACAGACTCGTTGGCGCCACATAATTTGAATACTTTATTTAGTGAAGCGATATTTACCCCTAAGACTCTTTCGCGATCACATCGGTAGTGGGAGAACCCCGAGTCGAGAAGGTGCAGGCTGACTAACGATACATGGTTCCCATCGAGTGCTTGCAATTTTAGCCCACTTTCGTCTGCGTCCACATTTGCGTCATTTACCAAATCTTTGATGCATTCAAATAGCTTCTTCAAAATGGATGCATTGTTTAGCTTGGCCTCTAACATCTTGTCGACCTGCCGGAGGGGGAGGGGGGGACATGAGCACACGTGTTAGTGGGAAGAGGTATGTGGGGGTGTCTCTGCTCGGGTTTGCTCGTGTCTGCTCCTCTCTGCGTGGTCATCCGGGGGCCATCCTTAACTATTTTCCGTTAATGCGCGTGCTTAGGTAGCCACATCTGGATTGGAGGGAACAGCTCCTCCCTCGAGCAGGTTCATACATATATGTGCGCCGCCGTTCGCTTCGTATGTGTCCTACCTGTTATGAAATATGTAGGGGCAAAAACTACGGAGCGGTGTCCGTTATGCAGTGACTGCTACGCGAGGCCTGTTATTATGAGAGCTTCACTTCCCCCGTCAATGTCCTTTTTTTTGGGCACCGGGGGGTGTGTACCTCCTTTCCTCACTCAACAAAGAGAGGGCTTCCTTATTAACTCCTTAAGGCACACCTCAATTGGCTTCCTTCGCAATATATGTACACAAGTACATGCGCACAAATGAGCATATGAACATATGACCAGGCGAACATATGACCATACGAACGTATGAACACATGTATATATATTTATGCAGGGATGCTAATTCCCTTTAAACGTTACGTTTAATCTTATGAAGATGCCGATTTACACTTGTATACCCTATGTCACAAAAAAAAAAAAAAAAGTACATATGTATGCTAAGGGGCATATAAAATGAAAACGCGGGGCTTCTTACGAAGTCAAAAGTGTAAAGAGATTGGGCAAAAAAAAAAACTTAGCGAAAAAAGGATCTCCGTGAGTGTTTATATATATATTCATATATGCATAGCCATGCGTGCTGCATTTGCATTTCTGTTTGACTCGCGATATTCTTATCTGCCTGTTTTTTTTTTTTTTTTGAGGGAGAAAATTCTCATATGGATTGCTTGCTTCTTCACGTATGGCACGCGTGGCACGCGTGGCACACGTGGCACACGTGGAAGAAGCGTCACTTTTGCCTACCACTTCTCTAACAGTTTGCACACTCTCTCGGATGCATCAAAGATACATGTAGGCAGGGAGGAGGAAACTCCTTCTATTTTGTTCGTCAAGTGAGAAATATTTCTGCATCTACTGCCGGTTTGTTTTAAAAGTGTAAAAGAGGGGGAGCCCAGGGAAAAAAAGTGAAATTACGTGGTGAGGAAAAAAAAAATAAATAAAATTAAATAACTAATTTGGGAAGAGAAACCTTTTGTGGTCTTCACGAAATGTGCCTCGCTTCGCTTTGGTTTGCTATTTTTTTTTTTAGACGTAAGCGTACCGTAAAAAAGGGAACTCCCTCTTGCACATACTGTAAGACGCAAACTGAGTAGGCGGAAAACACTTCGTTCTCGAGAGCCAGCCCTCACAAGGAGGCATACAGACGTAGGACATGCTGCCTTCGCGCTCGTGGCTCTTCTCTACCACAGGTTTTTATTTCGCCAAGCGCGCGGACTTTCCTTCTCTATAAAACTGTTTGCAAGCCACCAGAAAGGCATCTGCACGTGCTCTCTAATCAGCTTTACTGTGCACATTCTTGTGTGCTTCTCCCCTGTGCGCGCCCCTTGGCGGGACACCACAAATAGGGAAAAATAAAGCAAATGCTATGGCACCTTCCTTTTGTCTTACACAGCGTATAGCTAACGTTTAACGAATAGTTTTTTTTTTTTTTTTTTTTTCTCCCCGTTTATATGAAGTGTCATCTGGAGTGGCTGGGAAATTAAGCTCCTATTTTGCACTGCACATTTCTGTGCTATTGTTATGTATTTGGCTAAGGGGAGAAAATATGGATACAAAAAGACGAGCGTTTTGGAGGAGAGCCATGCCGCAAGGGGGAAGCCCACTTGGCAAAGACTAAAAGGATACAGTCAAAGCGAACACACATGTGTGCATACATGTTTTGACGCAGGAGGCATGTATGAAGCAGTCCCGCTTCGATAGGCCCTTTCGCCGAGAACAGCTATGGAAAACTTTTCTGTACCCCTTGCCCTGCTCATTAAAGTGTCTTCCCGAGTGAACCTCATAATTGTTTTTTCCCCCCCCCGAAGTGCACACCTATCGTTTGGACGTACTAAACGATGCAATGCGAAAGAATGTATATGGACAAAACGAATTTTTGCTTCGCTCCAGGAGTGTACGCAACCCCTCCCACCGGCATTACATTTATTTATTTAATTTTTTTTTTTTTTTGTTTTTTTTTTTTGTATATCTTTTTAAGCTGCAAATATTTTTGTGCGGGTTTACTTATCTAGGATCCTGCGGTTTGCACACTTAAAATTTTAATGATGGAACTGTAGACATTGCGCAACAATTGGGGGTTTTTTACCTAAACTTCTGGGGATGGGGATAACGATAAGGTTATCCTTCGCATGGGGGATGGAAAAAAACAGCCTTCACATGCGTACAATAGTTTACATTAATGGAGGATTAAAACGTTTTCTGTTTTGTGAAACATATGCAGACGTCTCACAGCTTTATGTTATGCACACACACGAGTGTATCCTCTCATGCGTCGCTCAGAATGGACGTCTTGGTCTGTTCCACTCGTAGGGGGAAGGCGACATTTTCGTTTTAATCTTTTAAAAAAAGTCGTATATTTATGGCACTGATTAGGAAGAGGGAACTCCCAACGGACATAAGTTGTGTGAAGAAAAGTCTGAAAAAAAAAAAAAAAAAACGATAAAATGATAAAATTCGTTACCCCGAAGAATATAGACGATTGATGTCTTTGTTCATCTTGGTCATTTTGTTCCTCCCTATGGGAGAAGGCGGTTGTTCCGCACGATTGAAATGGGAATTGTTCTGTTTCGACGTCTAGACAAACCAGCAGCATTGCAAATTTTGTTTTTCCCTTTTATTCAGTGGAATGCTCTGCAGAGCGTTTAAGCGACCAATAAATGGTAAAGCTGCACACATGCGACATGGCGATCAGTGTGATACTTAAAGCGGGTTTATCTTTGCTTGTTTTCGCTGTTTCGAAGCATTTGCCTGTTTGGCATAGTTTCCATGGCGTAGGGCCATTGAGCTGAGCGTAAGTCTATTCGCAGCGCCGTCCACATGTCCCTGTGCTCCGGGAAAATATCCACTATACTTGGTAGATACGTGGTGCAAGTGTCGTACACACGGGTGTCCTCCTTATGAACATATGCACAAAGGCGTCCACCACGCGGGGGGCACTTTTTTCACTTATTTCTCTGCGTTAAAGTTGCTCTTGGCGCGAACGGTAAAGAAATGACATGAAATAAAATGAAATCAAGGAAAATGGAATAAACTAAACCGCAACGAAGCATTCCAAGTGACGAATGCCTACCTTGAGGCACACGTTGATGACACATCAACCTCTGCCCCTTCCGCACCCCAAACGTAACACGACCAGCGAATTAATTCCACAACTCACTATAAATAAAATACCCACCGATATAGCAATTGTGAGGACCATTTCGTTATGTTACACCGAATGACACATTGTACGCGGAGGTAAGAAAAAAAAAAAAAAAAAAAAAAGTCGAAGCGGTGATTAAAATGAGCGCGTGGTATATTAACACCCAAGTTTTCACCATTCTTTTGCGAAAAACTGAGAAAAAATAATAACACAGGAGAAACAATTGA